ATTGGCGGGCGGGCGTGGCTTGTGAGGGTAGCAGAGGGACTGTCAATTTGCATGTTTCTTTTTTATTAGATAAGATTAAATGAAAAGTTTACTTAAAACATAAATGAAGAACAAATTAATATTTTAATAAATCATCCTACCAAACTTTTTAACACTAAAATTATTACTAGTAAACATCTTTGATTGTTTAGTAATCTCCAGTAGGGGGCGTGCAAGAGGCAGCCGGTCAATGATTCTTTCTCATCATTGATGTTTCTATCCCTCTCTCCCCCTCCCTTTCTCTCTGAAATCAATAAAAATATTAAAAATAAATAAATTAGAGGAAGAAAAAGCCCACAGAAGAAGAAGAAGGCAAAGATATGTGTCTGACTTGGTCTTGGCTGTAGAAGAATGGAAAGAAGAAAAAAATATCCCCTATGAATTTCTAACCACTTCTGTGTGGTTAGAAATTATACATGTAATAAAAAAAAACAACCCATATTATACATGTAATAAAAATAATTCCTCTCTGGAGAATACAATTTAAATCCAGATATGTATACATCAGATATTTATACATATGTATAAATCCATAAGTATTCAAAGATCATGAGCCCTTAATAGAAATCACATAACAAACACAAATTGGGCCACTAGGAATGAGAATTACCATGAAAGATGAACCACAAGCTACAAAAACAGACCTGCAAATTTGCTAGGTTTATCAGGGACAGAATATAATTTAAATGTACTTAACCTGTTCAAGGAAAAAAAGAGCAAATTGAAAGTACAAATGAAGAAAACAATAAAATTAACAAGGCAGACTTTTAAAAAATCAAATATAACTTTTAGAATTGAAAACATGATAGTTGAAATTTAAAACTCCATGAATATGTTAAACAGCCTATTAGACACAGGTGAAGAGAAAATAAGTAAACTGGAGGGTAGATCTCAAGAAATTTCCCAGAAGTCAGCATCAGCTGAAGGGGGTGAGGAGGAAAGAGTGTGTAACAAAGAAATATAATTTAAGAAATATAATTTAAGAAATATAGAAATGGAGAAGGTCCAACAGATATGGAAAGAGCGTTTACCACATTCTGGACCCTGTGCTTTGCTTTAAGAATAAAGCAACAATCAAAACCATTATAGCTCTTCCCCTTTCAAATATATAATCCAGATGGAGAAACCTACAATAAACAGATACTTACACATAACTCATTAGAAATCCAATAAATGTGCGAGCAAGAAGTTCTGGGGGAGGCTTTGAAACCGTTTAACAGGGATGCCCTCCTGAGTCTGGAAACTCAGGGAAAGCCTCCCTGAGGAAGTGAAATTCAGGTT